AGCATATTCATCATATAAATATTCATATAAAATTTACATTATAAATAAGTCTGATATTGTTGTTTAAAAATTTACTTCCATATCGAATCCATAAATTATACAGTAAATATTCATTGTTAATTGCCCGATAGGTAAATATTTAGATAAGAATGTATAAAAACAAATTATTTATTCGTATAAAGGCCCCCACAGACGCCCAGTTTTATCCTGATTGTTCATCACTTTCCTGAGTGCACTCACATTCGCGCATTTGTACAAACTAGTGCTAACAAGACAAATTCAAGAATAAACTGCTCGAAAATTCGGCAATGTGGCAAATTGCTTAGGTTTACAAAAAATGATTTTGTCATTGTCAAAAGTAATTTAATTTTAATATTCAGGGGAACATCTCAGATACACTGTCTAAGCTATTTTATCTCATGCACACTTTTTCTTAATGTGTATAACAATAAACTATTACTAGTACTGAATATTAAAATTAAGTTATGCTTGAAAATGACGTTGACAACTTAAGGTACAATATGTCGGTTTTTGACTGGTGTTTGATTGTTACTCGTTCAGTTTTAATTTAAAAATAGATACAGTTTTTTATTTTTTTCAAATTACTCAAAATTGGCTTGTCCAATATTTTTGAAAAATCTATTTACGACTTCGTTATAAAATCAGTAGGGGAGCCAATATTTGAACAGTTCTAAATTTGCATGGGATTTCCTATGTTTCCAACGACGATGCACCACCCGGTATAATATTTTGGAAAATTTATATTTTTCATAATGTAACAAAAACAACTCAAGAATAATTATTTTGCGATGTGGGAGTAGGAAGTAAACACATATTATGCACGATGTGTTATTATGTATTATTGTTATTGTTTATACGGGGCGTAACCTGAGAAGTTTAATTGCCTGTGCTAGAAAAATTTCATTCTCGTTATTGCGTTAATACTATTGAAGTTACTAAATGCAATGGAATGTTTCCACGATTAGTAAATACTATGTCGTTGTTTTTCTGCTTTTTCTGTTTTGAAACAATACAATTATATTTAACGTTAGATTATGAACAATGGTTAAGAAAACGCGCGGCGAAATACTGAGAAGTCTGATATTAAATTGTTTGTACCGGTTTAGTAATAACTTTTATTAAAATTTAAGTTTTTAATGTTCCAAGTTATGGGGAAATAACAGAACTTTTTTATAAATAAATCATAGCATTTAAGTTTGTAAAAGACCTGTCAAAATTCATAAATTTTCATTGATTGATTGCATTGATGAAATTTTAAGTTCAAAGAAAATTTGAAAATAAATTGTATATGTTACGGTTAAGGTCCGATGTCCGGTTAATGTCGACATTACCCGGTTCGAGAATAACACACAACAAAACAACCAAAAACATAACCAAACCCAAACATTAACCTGTTAATGTTGACAATAACCGGACATCGGACTTTAACCGTAACATATACATTTCGGTCATATAGCAACGTTGGACAACACGCCACGCCACATCATCCCACGTGCCATTTCATAATGAGACGTGGGTAAAGGGTATACACATTTATTTGTAACACGCCATGTGATAACACGCTTAAAAAACCTTTATTATAGTCAGAACATTTATCAGTATTGTCTCGAGAACGAAGTTTGATACAAGTTCGTCTATAGTGACGAAGAATTTTTAGAAGAATGCACGTCTGCGGCTGTGGTGTTTAGGGTTCAGAACCGGGAACTCCCGGTATCGAAAGTACCGGGAATTCCCGGTTCTTTTGAGACATCAAAGAACCGGAAAAATGAAATTATTTATGATAATTTTTTAATCGCTCAATTCCATGATAGCTGTGATAGCCAATATTATATGACATTCGAACAATTTAATTTTCGAAATAGTTGGCCACATGTCTTCTCTTTATGTCATTTTAATTTATGTAGTATTTAAGCATGTAATAAAAAATGGGGGTACCCATTTAAAATAAGAAAGTTGCAATGAACTTCCGATATTTCCGGAAGTGCTGCCATATTGAAAATGTTTTTAATCGATAGATCTCGTTGTGAAACAATGATGTATAAAAAATATCCGATCTAGATATTGTAGTTCTCTAGAAACTTCTAATGCACGCTGAGCTTGGGACAACCTGTATGTAGCTGCACTTTTATCTCGGGATCCCGGAATCCCGGTAGCATTTAAGCAAAATGTACCATTATATAGTCCATAATGTGATTTTCCCTGCTCTCATTGGTTGAGACTAAACGCTAGTGCGTTTTGCCAACCGTGACTAAAACGTGGTACGTTCTGCCATATTCTTTCCAGCATCATGCAAATGTTTTAAGGACAATGCAGATTACACTAACATGTTATAAACGCCATTATTAAAATCTTTGATTTTTAGGAATGACCACAGAATTATCCTATTTAATATTTGATCGTCTTTTTAGGACCAGCGTGAAATGTTAAGAAAACGCCTATTTTATAAAAATATTAATCTGACACTTCTGAAAAATTGTTTGTTTGATTTCCGTGTGTCGTGGCGTCTCTGTAACACAGACAGGTATATGTGGTCAATGTACATAATTTAAAATTATTTTGAAATGTACAAGGTATGTCAGAACTAAGATCCATACCAAAGTTATATTTTTTCTTATGGAGGGTATTATTATACCAGGTATTTTATTTCATTTTTGGATTTTTGAACATAAAATAAGGCATTTATTATAAGGGTTTAAATATGTTTAAATGCTTTGGTTTAGTAAAAGGTTGCTGTTTTAATATGTTTAAATGCTTTGGTTTTTGAGATATTTAAAGATATTTAAATATGCATGCTATGATAAAAAAGTTTGTCAACCTTGTACATTACTTTTCAGAATTAATTCTTGTGCTAACTTTCAAGCCAGAGAAATAAACCTTACTAAAAAATTTGATTGCTTCCTTAAATGTATACCGGGGTATCAAAAATTGCATCATACATAGAAATAACGAAGTTTTTATGTAAAATAAATATTTAAAATAGAGCAGCAATTTTTGATACCCCTATATACATTTAAGAAAGCAATACATTGTTTTAGTAAAGTTAATTTCTCTGGCTTCAAAGTCACCAAAAGAATAAACTCTGAAAAGTAATGTACAGGGTGTTGACAAACTTTTTTATTAGAGCATGCATATTTAAATGTCTTTAAATATCTCAAAAACCAAAGCATCTAAACATATTAAACCCTTATAATAAATGCCTTATTTTAAGCCCAAGAATCCAAAAATTAAATAAAATGGAATAGTATGGATCTTAGTTCGAACACACCCTGTACATTTCAAAATAATTTTAAATTATCCACATTGTTTCTCTACATATACCCATAAAAATTTTTTGTTTCTACATCAACCGAAGCGAATGAGGTGCGCCACCCTGTATAATAATGGTCTTCTTTGGAAACTGCGTGATTTTTGTCCCAAAGCCACCTCCATACAGCCTGTCCAATGCGGAAAGAACAAAGTAAAAATTCGCTGTACAATCCTGGCAACTGAATTTAGTCGCGAAAATTCTGAAATCCACGCGTCGCAATCTTCTGTTGTTTTTAGTTCAGCATAAATATTGCTACCTTAAACCAAAACTAATTTTACACTGTATCGAAATTGATCCGGTAAAATATACGTCAAACCTTCAGATGTCATGGTAGATTAAAAATGCTAAAGTTTATTCAAACACACAAAAACAACGTCTGTCTAATGAAAACTTCTTGAGAAAAGCGTATAACGGCGGCGTGTTTTTGGCGAAGTTTTCATATCAATCCGTCAATTCTTTTTTATTTTTCTCAGGGCTATTGAAAAGGTTAATGCCATTCGATCTCAGGCACAATACACCACGTTTTAGTAAAGTTTAGCAACATGTACCTGCGTTTGGAATGCCTCACGCTAACGTCGCAAAATGTACCGCATTTTAGTCATGTTTGGCAAAACGCACCAGCGTTTAGTCTCGACCAATGAGAGCAGGGAAAATCACATTATAGACTAAATAATGGTACATTTTGCTTAAATGCATCCCGGTATTATAGGTTCTTATTTCAGCATTTCAAAATGGGATCCCGATCCCGAAAATTGGAAGCCCTGTATATAACTTCATTTTAACAAGATTTTAACATCTAACTACTATGTCCAGGGGCGGCGGGTTTTATAAAACCTCGTGGTCATCGGGTATGCGAATTTGTAAGTTGTAGTTTAAAATTCGCTTTCAATTTTAGAATAATTATAATTATTATATAAATATACTAACTCTCTAAACACTTTTAGAGTCCCTACAGACGCTCAGTTTAACACAGGCAGGCGTGCTGGTCACCTTGCGCAGTCTGACCTATACTACAGCCTGTCGCACACACGCGCAATTTTATTAGTACAGTTTTATCTAGAATAAACTGAATGACGCACTCACTTCAGCACATTTTTCGTGCATGTATTGGGGCTGGCATTTCTGGTCTTGGGTGCCGATTTTCGTGTTTACGAAGAGTGGGGTCAACACGCTTAGCAAAATAAGATGTACTGAATAAAAACAGAAGGCAAGTATTTTCCCAAGCGCATAGCGTCAGGTTAAGTAGTTATACAATAAATACTTCGTATTTTTGCTCTCTCCGACTTACTAGACTGCCATAGCGATTCACTCCTATACAACAATATAAACGCCGACCCAAGGTTTCGTTTGCTGGCAGTGTATAACTTTCCACAGTTTTTAAGCGACGTCTTGCTTTTAAGCGATTTTTTACAGATTTTGAGCGCCGTTTTGCATTGTAGTGGATAAGTGTCGCTTAAAGTTGGTTAAACTGAGCTTTGGCGCTAAAGCTCGTTTAAGCACCCACGCAGTCGGTGCCCCTGACTAGGTCTAATAGATTACAAGCAAAATGTGTTTACACTCGCATTAAACTTGACCTGAAAAGGCGTCATAGACAATGGATAATAAAAAAATTAAAAACATATAGTTTTGGTGTTAAAAAAGTTAGCCTAGATAACTTTTTTTCGGGACTTACCATGGTGCAAAGTCCGAGTTACGTGCTCCGATGGTTCAAAGTGTATCTGCAAAAAAAGGTAAATTTAGTTATAAACTTAATTAATAAAACGTTTTATCCACTTAAAAGTATTTATTTAGACGCCGCCTAACAAAATGCCAATTTAGTTTTTTAATGGACACGTCTAGCAGTTTTTTCTTTATTTATTCAAAGAAGATTGATTGTTTTTTCGTCTACAATATATGATCTTGAAAGAACCTGCTATATTGAAAGTTAACATTAGAAAATACGTGTCATTAGAAAACAAATGAGTGTAACAGTTACCCTCGAGAAATAGAGAACTAAAAGATGCGTGAAGCCGCGTCCACACTTGTTGCTCAACATGGTTTTCAATAATGTTTCGCAACATATTTACGAAAATTTCATTAAAAAGCAACAAATTGCATGTTTTTTCAACAAGTTGTATGTTGTCCGTCAGGAGCGAAAGTTTATTTAGTGTTTATCAACATGTGGAACGAAGAGGATGTAATTATAATCTCAGCCGCACTCCTTATTATTTCGCGAAATGAGCGTCGTCAAGCCAGAAACGTCGTTTTTGGATACGTCCTAGCTTCCGGAAGAGAAATTTATATAGTGGTAGTGACTTGCTCACTGATCTTTGTACAGATGACTTAAATCTGCTCCACAATGAAATAAGAAGTAGTTTCAAGAATTTTCTAAGAATGAGTTCAGCTGATTTGAATCATTGCTCCAAATGATTGGTCCCAGGATTTGTAAAATGGACACAAATTATCGAGATGCAATTCCTGTTCAGGAGCGTCTTGCTATTACGCTTAGATTTTTGGCTTCTGGTGATTTATACAGGGTGGTCCGAACTATATTCCGGAAACTTCGGCAGCATATTTTGCAGATAAAAATAATTAAAAAAGTTCGTATAAATGTATGTCCTAAAATGCTTAGTTTTGGTGATACAGGGTGTAGAAATTACAATTTTATTTCGATTTTTTCCAAATAATTTCTGAAGTAACGTAAATATTTGGATGAAAATTGGTGTCTGGGAGTTTTTTGACACGACAAATTTGATTTTCATGTCAATATGACTCCTACTTGTAGAGGGCCACCTACATATTTTTAACTGTTTTGAAGAGTAATAATTTTTCGTCCGTAACTGTATAAAAACAACTGAGTAAAAAAATATGCATTTACAACGTTTTTTACGTAAAAAATGTCTCTTAGACATTGACTAATCGCTACGAGTAATGATTCTCGAGATATTTGGAATCGAATTTATCAAAACCTGTCATCTTTGTCATAAATTAAGCATGCGTTGACCAAATAGTTATTAGGCTGAAATCATAAATTTGAAATGTTTTTGTGCTAAAAGTTCTTTATCATCATTTTTTCTCAGAAAAATTTAAGATTAATTAAAAAAAATAAAGTTCCCAAATTTACCATTTCAGTCAAATATCTGTCTACTCAACATGCCTATTTTTTGTCAATAAAGACATGTATTGACTATTTCCATTCTAAATATCTTGAGAACGGTTGATCGTAGCGATTTTTACCAAGGGACATTTTTTACGTAGAAAATCACAGAAATGTATATTTTTTCACTCAGCAGTTTTATACAGGTACGGACGAAAAGTTATTACTCTCCAAAACAGTTAAAACACATGTAGATGGCGCCCTGTACAAATAGAGGAGTCATATTGACATCAAAGTCAAATTTCTCATGTCAAAAAACTCCCAGACACCAATTTTCATCCCAATGTTGACATTACTTCAGAAATTATTTGGAAAAATTCGAAATAAAAATGAAACTTCTACACCCTGTATCTCCGAAACTAAGCAATTTAGGGTATACATTTACACGAACTTTTTTACTTATTTTTATCTGCAGGATATTCTACCGAAGAATACAGTGCGGACCACCCTGTATACTAGCCTTGGTTATCTTTTCAAATGTGGAAAGCAGACGATTTCAAAAATAATACCAAAAGTATGTGATGCACTAATAGCTGAAATGATATTTTTTATTTTTCTCTCAACTTCCACCCTCTCCACTTCTAAACTTGTTGCAATATCATTCCAGGCATCACACTTTCTATTTCTGTTCTTATACCAAGTATGCTTAGTGTCCCAAGGTTCGGGGTGGGCTTGATATTTTTCAATCAGATTTCTTTTTTTATCATTGCTCCACTCCATACCAAATTTATTTTTAGCAACAGAATCAAAAATACACTTCTGGCCTTGTGAACTACACGAGTACAAATGGCAAAATATACCCAATAAAGTTACTGATAGGAGTTGATTCGGTGGAGACGTCTTTCGACATATTTGTAAACATTGTCGTCGACACGATTTTTCTTTTGATGTACCGCTCCTCAAGCGAAACATGAAACAAAGTCGGCGACAAATCTGCGACATAAAATGTCGACGACTTAACTGAATTTTCAACAACATTGTCGACAACACTAGTCGGCGACACAGTCACCGACAAATGTTGTTTTGGTGGAGACCCTGCTTTATGGAGCGAAAGAATAACGTCTCAGCTTTCAAATCGTTTAACAAATCACTGCCCCTATATTTTTTCCGTGAGAGAAGGGCGCACCCAAAATCTTCTTTTTTTCATATTTTTTTTCTCTGCATGCTAAAATTACGCAAGCTGCAGCCGCAAGAAGAACATCCCTTTCGCCGGCCATATTGGAATGGACTAAACAATAAAAATGTTGCATCGGGCTTCCAATTTCCAACTTTTTTAATGTGGACGTCCTAAAAGATGTCACCAAGTTGCTGCAACATGTTATTGTGAGGACGGGTCTTGACGTAATCGGAAGAAGGCGACGAAAACACAAATAAATACACCAGAGATATAGAGATGGGTAGAATGACCATGAAAGTCTGATGAAAGTGTCACCATATTCACGCTTAGGTAGGTTTATATTGGAGATCAGAAAGTAATATAAGGAATAAAACTGCACTGAAAAAATTAATTCGTGAATTTAAAAACAATATTAATGGTTATTTCTTGCCACAGATTATTGTAGTAAGTTTACCATTCGTTGTTTAGTTTTACAACTCATTTGTAAAATCGCTGTATGGCTAAATTATAGCATGTATGTAAATATGTTATAATACAGGGTTGTTCACCACCTACGACACGGAGTATTGTAGCTAAACGATTAGATTTTTACAAATTGTAAGTTTTGGGTTTGTTGAAGGTCTATTAGAGCTACAATTTAAAAATATTTTTACAAGATACAGAGTGTCCCAAATAAGTAAAAAATATTATAGTTGTATTTTTTTAAATCGAACACCCTGTATATTATTCTATTTTTGGATTCTTCGATTGAAATAAAGGTAAATTTTATTAAGGTTTATCACACTTAAACCTGACCGTTTTTGAAATATTTTCAATTTTATGAAATTGCAGTAAAAATTTTAAGGCTTTATTTCTCCTAGGGTATCAAAGTTTTTAATACTAAATATTTACTGAAGATTATTTATTGATCAAATATTGTGTTGCAATAATAAAAATTTTACTACCTTATACAGAGTGTCCAAAAATTTATATTAAATAATTACTAGCTTTAAACGGCAATAACTTGTTTCATTTAAATGGAACACCCTATATATTTTACGTGAATCAGATGCACAATGTAATTGTCTATCAAATTGTATTATACCATTTTTTACCCATCTCTTCAAGTTTTCGTTGAAATTGCATTTTGTTATAATTTAGACCTCATTTATTACTATACCCATGGAATATTGACATTTCAGATTTTTTTATAGCACCATAATATGTACAAAATGTACAGGTGGTAAATATTGCATGCCCATTGGCATACAAAAAAAACTATTTAAATCTTTGTAAAAGAGTATACCAATTAAATATACCACCATTATTTCCTACCAAAAACACCAAAAATTAGTTAATTACATACTTTTAAATTGTTTTAATTAATAAATTATTCTAAATAAATGTGGATTTGGCTCAGAAATCAATATAATAATAAGTTATGAAAATGAATGTCTCTGTTTTTATAAATAAGCATTCGTCAATAAATGAAATACAATTTATAAGGTGTTACTTTTTACCACACTGTGTAATACACACACAAAATTCAGTTTTTTAGTATTTGGAACAATTATTACTACAACGTAAACAGTCAATTAATGTAGTTTGAATACTGGGATCATATTAATTGGTCCTCTTTAACAAAAAATATTTAAACAGTTTTTTTTATTTTTTAATTAAATAAGCGAACTATATCAACAATATTAGTATATATACCCTTTGAAAATTTGTTACATCTTTAAAAATAAGCTAAAATGTCAATATTCCATGGGTATAGTGATAAATGAGGTCTAAACTATAAGAAAATGCATTTTCTATGAAAACTTGAAGAGATGGGTAAAAAATGGAACAATACAATTTGATAGACAATTACATTATGTACCTGATTCACGTAAAATATATAGGGTGTTCCATTTAAATTAAAAAAGTTATTGCCGTTTAAAGCTAGTAATTATTTAATAAAAAATTTTGGACACTCTGTATTAGGTCGTAAAATTTTTATTATTGCAACACAATATATGACCAATAAATAATCATCAGTAAATATTTAGTATTAAAAACTTTTATACCCTTGGAGAAATAAAGCCTTAAATTTTTTTCTGCAATTTCATAAAATTGAAAATATTTCAAAAACGGTAAGGTTTAAGTGTGATAAACCTTAATCAAATTTACCTTTATTTCAATCGTAGAAGCCAAAAATAGAATAATATACAGGCTGTTCTATTTAAAAAAATACAACTATAATATATTTTACTTATTTGGGACACTCTGTATCTTGTAAAAATATTTTTAAATTGTAGCTTTAATAGTCCTTCAACGAACCCAAAACTTACAATTTGTAAAAATCTAATCGTTTAGCTACAATACTCCGTGTCGTATGTGATGAACAACCCTGTATATCTTTATATATATATTCAGTAATATTCTTTGTGAATTTATGTAAAAAATGTGAATCTCATACAAAATTCACTTATTCATTGTAAATT